CATCGCTTTTGTAGAACTGAGAATATGCCTTTATCAGCTGCCATATGGTTCCTTCCTCAAACCCTGATAATAGTGGTGAAGAAGACTCTTTCAAAATGTCTGTATTTTTTCACTTAGAAACACATGAAGACAACCAAAGAACATGTGTACTGTAGATTTCTCCCATGCATTTGTTAGATTTGCATGATTTTGTGCAGGTTTGACAAACGATTGAATATGTGATGCAGTGTGAGAGGAGAGAAGCTCTACTCCGTCTTCACATCATTACTCACACAGTCACACAAACACAGAGTTGATGATAGTTTGAATACCATTTGCACAAAATCTAATTTGAATTTAATATATAATGTTTGTTCCTCATTTTTTCTCACACACACACACACACACACACACACACACACACACAAATAATGATTAGCAAGTTTTTCATCTGTTTTCCCCTCCCGTCTTTTCCGGCTTTTTGGTCGCTCTCACTTTATCAGTCACTAATGTTTTTCTTCTCCTCTCCTCTTTCCTCCTCCTCCTCTCTTTTTCTCTCCATCCTCTCTTCACTCCCACTCTCCTTCCTTCTTCCATCCATCCATCCATCTATCCATATCTCAAGAGGTAGAGTGCTTCAGGTCATTTCCATACAGTTTGCTTAATGTATGCTGATGATAATAGCCTATCGACTTACTCCTCCGTCCATCCATCCATCCATCCATCCATCTATCCATCCATCCATCCATCCATCCATCCATCCTCTGTTCAGACCAGAAGGAGCAGGAGGCGAATGAGAGAAAGAATGGGTGGAGGGAGGGAGGGTGGAGGAGGGGGGGAGAGGGCAACTTGATTGAGCGCTGATGCTAACAGTCATCACTCAGCACAGTACAAGTACAGTTTTTTGTTTTTTGTCATAAATTATTTTTCAAATCAATGTGAAAAAGCTTCAAAAATGAAAAATGTAACAGGACAGATAATCTCATTTTGCAGAACGTTTCTGAGCTGAAGAATGTGAGTTATAGTAAATAAAAGACTCTTTTCTATCTCCTAAGTTGAAGATTTAAAAAAGGAGAATAATAACAAAGTGTTACTAGACCAATGGTATGAAATAGAAACATCCAGCCTCCTTGGAGTGAAATAATGGTAAAACAATGTCACATAACCAAAGAAAGCTAATTTTCCATTTTGATTCATGTTTTTTTTTTTCTTTTTCTGAGATGTAGACGAGCATTTGAACCGGCTCTGTTTAAAACAGCGTTCATTCACTTCAGGTGCGTCTGTCATGAAAAATGCCATCCATGTGAAAGAATATTTGTGAGATATGAGACCTTTAAAAAAATGAAGTCCAACATTTGCGTTGCTTCCCAGGAGTTAGAGAATGAGATGAGTTTGATTTTACCTTTTGGGTAATAAACTCAGGTGCTGCCCCTAGTGTCCGGGAGGGCAATGACAGTAAAAAAAAATGGGAAAATGTCTGCAAAAGACGAGTTTATTTTGAAATCATGTGAAAGTTTTCATGTGATAGAATAATGAACATATTATTATTCTGGTTGCAGCATGATGACTTTATTTAATCTAATGATAGCAAGTGTATGGCTTTTGTTGGATTGTTCTCCAACAGTTTCTAAAATGTGTCATTTAAATAGTAAGATACATCTTTTTAGTATTTATATAAACTGAAAAGTTCACTTGATGAATGTGTTCCAGATATTTGAAACAGTCTCACATATTGGACACATCTTGTTTAAATAAATTAAAGCACCCATCATGTATTTTTTAATTGAGCTCAGCCACCACCAATAGGTCAAGTGGTGTTTTAACATTGAGCCATTAGCTTTTAGCTATTTTCATGATCCAATATCACCCATTAGCATAAAGCTATTAGCTTGCTTGCATTATTTAGCTGCTCCGCACACAGTGGAAATGACTGAACCCTCCTGACAGAAAAGTCTACTCATTCAGTCATCACTCGCGCCGTCTGGCCTGGAGAGCATTGTTTGTATTGACCGGCGACCGTTAAAACAAAATGAAATCTTCCTTTAAATCTCCATGTTCGACCAGACAAAGCAAAAAAAGTGGTACAAAGAGATTGTTCTAAATCCGGTCTCTTTTTGTTTCTCTCACACTCATTGAGAGTCCATGGGATTTTTTGTTTGTTTTTATGTTTGTTAGTTTGTGTGTGTGTTTGAATTAAGCGTCGGCCTTTGCTGTTGAAAATTGAAGCCAATGCAGAATCTCTCGAGTCCGCCTGTTTTTAAACGCAGCACGCCTCATAATAACATAAAGCGTGCATGTGCCCTTAGTCACTTAAGCCCCATTTCCACAAAGCGTTCTCGTTTGGTTCTGACGAGTTATTTACGGTTCAGAACAATAAACCTTGCTTGACCTAAAGATTGGGTGAGACAGTATTTTCATTACGCCGACTGCCATCGTTGGCCTTCAGAGTTAAACCACCGACTTCTCAATTGTTGCCAGCGTTGCAGTGTTCGACTGTGTTCTGGCTTTGAATAAAACAATATAAATTGCTCTTATATCCAGCTTCATGCATAGAAACTATCACTGTTCCTTGATAGAGACATGAACATACCATCCATGGTGTCTTGTAGGGACCATTTTTCCTTCCCATAGTAATTATGGGAAGAAAATAAATTGCAGCTGTGAAGCAGTGCATGCTTTAACTGTTCACCAAGTCGAGCTGTTGCAGAAGCATAAATAATCGTATTAGTTGTATAAACAGAAGTCTTTGGTGCCCTGCGGTTCAAAAGGACCGCAGGGCACCAATTACTTCACTGTTATAGCTGTGTTTAAATGTTTTAAAATATCTGAATTATGATCTTTTAACATTTTATTTTGTAACTGATGGAACACTGAATCAATATTTCACCATGCTTGTTGCAGGTCATTGATTTATAATGTGTTTTAATCGAGTTTACTCTGTAAAAGTGTTCACTTTAACCCTTTAACTCAGGGATGTCAGACATACGGCCCACGGGCCCTATCCGGCCCGACAAATGACAAATTAAAACCTATAATGAGCAACGTAAAGGTTGATATCATGATACGAATATTAATTAAACGGTTTTATTTGTGAGTTTTATTTGCTCACAAGTTGCCAGAATCGTATCAAAGCTACGGGACTTAATCAGCGCTCATCCTGACAGTCTTCAGTTCTGTCCACACTTCTTACCAGTTTCTCCTGTCTTCACTGATAACAAAGCTTCCTATGGAGTGAGCCACAAAGAGCAGCTCGTGCAAATAAAAACAATCCTCTCTGTCCTGCGTAACGGCCCAGACCGTCTCCTCACATCCAGACTAAGTGTAGGCTGTGGACAGCAGCGTTGAGCCCGATGCATCTCCCAACTAGTTTTACCTCTGGTTATTGTAAAAACAGTAAATTAAAATGAATAATAACTGATTTTAATTACAGATGGTTCATTTTTAGGTCATCCAGAGGTGAACGTGTTGATCACCTAAAAGTTTCAGCGTGACATCACTTCTAAATGCAGTAGCCTGCTGTTGTACCTTTATCACCAGCTTTAATCAGACTGTAAAAATATAACTATTACTGAACATTTCATTCTTATCCAAAAACAATGTCATGCACAGGCTGTCCGATCATACAGAGGTCCGCTGGTTTAACCCCGGAGCAGCGCTAAAATGCTTTCTCGAATTGCGAGATGGCACAGATTCATGGCGCATAAAAAGTCAGTGACAGAGTTAGATCACGATAGTGCGGACACGGAGAAGAACGGACTGCCAGACTCATTTCATTTAACTGAGTTTACTTAGTAGCACTCCTCACGGAGCTTTATTTGTTTTAATCATACATCAGCCTATGTGTTGAGTTATAGTGATGTCTGCTAAATAAATCCGGCCCACTTGAGGTCTCATTTGAACAAATCCGCCCCCGACCCAATAGAACTTTGACACCCCTGCTTTAACTGAACTCCTGTGAGAGTTTCTAACTAGTTATCAAAAAGACTGAAATGAATACTTATGCCACTGTAAAAGCAAACAAGGCCATCAGCAACAAGATTTATTATCAATATATAGTTTAATATAATGTAATTTTTTGATGTCTGAAACTGCTGCACTGGGTGTCAGATGAGGCTTTAAAGTCTTTATATGTGATTTTTCACACTTAAATATAATATAAATCCAGTATATCCTCTGAAAATAACTCTGTGAGTCATAACATACTGTACTCACTGCTTAACTGTGTTTCTAGATCACGCTCATTTCAGGTAAATTTACATGCAGTGTGAGGTGCTCTAGGAACTACACTGTGCCACACCCCCCCCCAGCCTGTTCGATGGCCACGTCTGGCCCATGTATTTGAAACACATCAGGTGAAGATACGAGCATAATAAAGATCGCTAGCATTAGCATGCTAACACAACAATGCAGCGTGAATTGTTTTGGTTTCATGCTGGTGCTCAAGGGGCGACATCTGCTGGATCAAAAAAAATCACATATAAAGCCTTAAACAGCATGCTGCCTAAATAACTTTTGTTGACTTTTTCCACTGGAAAGAATTAAGTGATATGACTGGCCGTTAAAAGAAACCAGGATGAGGTTTTTTTTAGGCATGTGCAGAACAATATCATCAAAATGACAAAAGGAACGGCTTTGTCCACAGGGGTCGCCAAAATCAACGTATACTGTACCAAAAAGATCTTTAGACCTGCAAAAACTGTCAGCCATTTCTGGATGTTTACACCTCACTGCTCTGTAGACGGAAGAGTATTTTTATGTTTTATTAGGAAGTCACAGCGCCAACTCCTGGTCCAGCATGCATACTACAACATGTTGATTTTGTTTTTGTAGAGTAGTGTGCATGGCGGTTGTTATCAAAACATTAACGTCTGAATGCAGATCCAGATTTTGAAAACGAAAAGAGGCCTTAATCTGCCAATGTGCACATTCAAGAAAAAACCTTTTCAGAAAATGTCTTAAGTTGTCACTTTAAATTAAAATCAAAGTCCTCAAAATCTTTTTTTTTCGTATCCATCTTCCAGCTTGCTCAGGACGAGGGCAGCCCGGTCCGAGGCTTTGGCGTCGTGGAGTATGAGAGTTCGGAACAGGCGGAGGCTGTGCTGATGGAAATGGACAGAACGCTGGTGGGAGGACAGGAGGTTCGTCTGTCACTCTGCAGCCCCGGGACCTCAGGGAGAAGCACCCTGGCTGCACTCATCGCTGCCCAGGGTATGGTGAGTACGACGCCAAAAGAGCGGCACGAACCAGCATGCATACAGGAAGGGAAGAAAGTTACACTGTGAACCCCTAATAGGGTTAAATAATCTACACACTTTGTGGTTGTCTGACATAAGATATGCTTTTTACGAGGTGTATTATTTGAATGCAGTATATGTGCACTTCAAGACGTTTGATTTTCATCAACTTTTACTCACCATCATCTCATTCACTCGACTCACCTTTTCCACAATCAAGATTATGTTTTTATTGTGATAAGACTTTTACATCTATTTCTACTTTTGTCTCCTATCTGACATGCTCTGATGAATTCAGCGTACATATTTTTAATTGTTCAGACGATGGCTGGCAATGATGCAAAAAAAAAACAATCAGTAATTCCACCCATTTTCAATTTAGCAAGATTTTATCTTTGGCTACCGATATTAGCTTTCCTGGATCTTATAGCTGCTTTGTTCAGTACACACAGGACTGCAAAATGTAAAGATTCATATTTTTAAATTAAACACAAAGCACAACATTTAAATAATGGGAAACATTTTATTGCAACATCAATGATTTTCCTTTAATTGTTTGGTGTGCCTCCTTTTCTGATGATGATGATGATGATGATGATTTTCTAAATAAACGATATCTGTTTGTGGTTAATAATTGATATCCACTTCTGATTATTCATTTACATTTGGAGTATTGAAGTTTAAATTTAGATAATAATATATTATATGATAATAATAATAATAATAACTTTATTATTATCTTAACAAGGTTACAAAGTGCTTTACAGAATGCACACAATCAAACAAAATAAAACATACATTAAAAGTTCACAAAGTACACAGTATCAAACATTGGTGATTCATAGAACTATGAATTAAAATGGATTAAATCAATTAAAGAAGGTATTGCCAACCTCTCTCTGCTTATCTTTTCAATCCTGTGTGCACACAGCCCTAAAGTCTCATGCCCTTATAAGGGCATTAAAGAGTCTTTTTCTATGCTATTTAGGAACACCTTCCATGAGCTTCCAATTCATGAAGGCAGTACATGCATCAATTTAAGGACACAGGATTATTTTGAAAAAACATGAATATTCTCTGTAGAAGAAAACATAATATCCAGACACTGTTGCACCAAAACATGGGACTCTCCAGGCTAACATACACACAGCATGTAAACATGTAAATTCTTAATCCACTGACATCTGATAACTGCACCCAGTGTTCAAATAAACTGGAGTTTGACATGCTGCACATGCTTTAGACCCCCCTGGTAGAACTCATGTGTGTAGCTGTGGTATCCCTCCTCCACAGCGCTGTGCCAGCAGAGACTCTCTGACAGGATAATTATAGTTCTATAGACTGATTGGGCTCCTCCACCAGCTCCTGCTGCCTGAAATAAACCCAACCCCCAGCCGGAGACACAGTATGACACTTGTAAAAAAAATAAAAAATACACACAAGCAAACTTACACACACATGAAGGTAATACAACTGAGAGGAAACAGTACTTTTTCATCTACACAGATTCATATTTAACAACTTCCAGGTACGACATTTAGATTGATTTGAAGTACACATTTCAAGATGAGTGGAAATGCTTGTGTTAAAAAAAAAAACAATACCAAAAAAAGTTTATGTAGGTACGTCAGTGAATGAGTGAATTTTCTGAAATTTGTTATGAGACCTTAATGTCCTATTTGTGGGACTCTTTCTACCTCACTGTCCGCTTGCTTTTTCACCTCCTATAATTGTCTTTATGCTAAATATAAGTAATGCACAAATGTATATTGTTGATATTGATCCATCCAGAGTTACATAACAACTCCAATCATGTCATTTTTTAGTACTCCGACTCAAGGTGCACTGCAATAAATAAAAAAAACAGACCAGTAGTGGCCCAATCTGTGTAATGCACTAAACCTTGTGAGTAAGATGTAAAAAAAAGATGTAAAAAAAGTTAATTTTCTGTAGTATTGTTTTCTGTAATAGAGGCAAAAATTAATACAAAAAAAATGAAAAACTACAACAATGGACACTGTACGTAATATATGTTTTTAAAAGAACAGAATGGAGACAAAACAAAACAACGATCATCGCTTCCCTTCAGTTCATCTGCCTGTTCTGGTTTATTCCCAGTTCTTCTGCACAACCAATCTGTGTTCCAGAACAAAGCCTTCAAAAGCAGGATTGTATATAATTTATGAACTGCATTAACGTAGCACCTCTCTAGTCTTCTGACCACTTAAAGCACTTTACACTACTCAACACATTGTCCCCATCAGTACACTGAGGGCAGAGGTTTCCATACAAGATGCCAAAGTGTTGATCACGATCTAATCCAACCTAAACCTGATATTTAATTACAAACCAATGATGATTGTGTGTGTGTTGGTGTGTGTGTGTTTGGATATTTTCTACTGTATTTGTGTAGGTATATATATATATATACATGTGTGTATATGTATATATTTGTTTTTATTCTATATATTTATATTTTTATATTTCAGGCATGGCACAGTAAATTTTGTTGTACTCTTGTGCAATGACAGTAAAGTCTATTCTATTCTATATTTGTGATTAGGTGTCATGCCTAAGGACACTTTGACAGGTGGACCACAGGGACCATTAATTGAACCACTGACTTTTTGCATTATTTGAGCACTATTTTCTCCTAGAGCCACAGCCTCCCAATCATGAACTGGGCAGTTTACTCTAATAACTCTGAGATTAAAATTACACTCATGGAAATGTCTGAAAGTGTATCACTGTTTAACTTTAACCCTCATGCATCATTATGGACATTTTTGTCCATTTGGTCAAATGTTTCGTCTTCATCTGGTCATCATTTTGTCTGTGTTAGTGCATATGACACCATTTTTTGTAAGAAAGACTCTCTCTTGACACATTTTTGAATGCACATTTTTTTTTTTTAATAGATCAATAGAGCACTGTGTAAAAAATGTACTACCCTTTTAAGTCACTAAGGACTAAAATGTCCACTTACAAAAAACTGCTATAAAAATAGAACAGATTAATATTTTTTTCTACTTTTTTCTGCATAAATCTCTTAAACAACATTTTTGGCACGGACATTTTTGTCCTTAGTGACTTAAGAGGGTAGTCAATTAAATTGATGCCTGAGGATTAAACAGGTACAACATAAAGCAATATTGACTCTGTCAAAATAAATTAATACTTTCCTACGCATAGCAGGTTTATGCTTCTTAATGAGTTACCCATCATTGGGCTAAGGAAAACTATTCGGCATGCTGTCTGACCCTCATCTGATAATGAACATTTAGAACATAATTGAGTTTATGGAGGATTACAATTGAAAGTCAGAAGTGTATATGTTTGGATGACTCAGACTGCAGTCCTGTTAAACCTTGGTTCATTGGCCTAAACGTGTTGTGATGTTTAAATTTCAAACACCTCCATTGGCACTTGTTGATTTTTTATTTTTTTTATTTTTTTTAGAATATATCCTCCAGCTGTTTTCTCTGTGATGTTATTCCCAGCTGCTGTTTGAGCTCTAGATTTATCAAGTGCACACAAAGACGCTCGTGTAGCCTCGAGATAGATGCTGAAAAGCAAAGAAAGCAGCTCAGAGCCTGAATTGTGACAAAGATTATGAGAAGACATTTAGAGAAAAAAAATGTGTTTCTGAATAAATTAGCCAAGGAAGATAAGACATGAGGAGGCAGGAGGACATAAACACAGTGGATGAATACGGTGGGGGAGGAGGAAGAAGACTCTGAGGTTAGATTTGTGCCCAGAGGCTCCTGTGAATGTGAGCAGCTGGTAAAAGCAAAACATCAGACCTTCAGAAAGAGATCAGGACCTTCTCCTGGCTGCAGATCTCCTCTGAGGCGATTGTGTCATTTCTGCAGTTAGTGAATGTGAGTGTGAACGCAGAGGGACCAGATGGCCTCCATCTCCCTCCTCCTTTCTTCTCCCTCCATCCTGGTCGTTGCGCGACACTTTCTCGCCTTCTCTTCACGGCTTCCTTACCTCCCTGTCGACTGTGTGTCTGTGTGTGTGTGTGTGTGTGTGTGTGTGTGTGTGTGTGTGTGCGCGTGGGTGTGTGGCTGGATTTTGTGCCAGTAGCCAAACAGACTGATGCATGATGACATTTTCTACCAGCAGAAAACGAAATGAGAGCACTTCTCCTCCTCCTCCTCTTTACTCTTTCCTTGAAAGACGCCGTCAGCGACGACTGGCCTTGTGCAACACCATCACACACACACACACACACACACACACTCTCATCAGTTTCTCTTGCTGTGCCACACAAACACACACACACTGAATTTGCGCAGCAGACTGTCCTCTTCCTCTCTCTCTTGCTGACATCCTGGAGTCAGAGCCGCTCCGTCCTCGTCAGTAATGCTCTCTCTTCAGGAAGAGACAAGGAGGAAGTAAGGTTGACTTGAGCTGAAGTTTCTCTGTAGCTCCGAGGCAGAAGGGAAGGAAAATGTCACCACCCTGTTAATGTTGTTTTAAATCGCCGTGTGCTATGCAGTGAGACCATCAGAAGTAATTCATCCATTCATAGAAATTCATATGCCTCCAATGTAATTATGCTGATATTGTTTCCTTTTTGCGCGTATCTGGCATTCCAGCTCCTGGCTAACTATTTTAGCACCGTTCTTTCCCCCCTGGGAGTAGTTTACGGATAAAGATAAAAATAAAGATAAGTATAAACTTTATTGGGGCGCTGGTGGAGCAGTGGTTAGTGCGTGCGCCCCATGTATGGAGGCCGTAGTCTTCCAAGCGGACGGCTTGAGATGTCCCATCTCTCAATTAAAGGCACAAAAAAGCCCAAAAATAAATCTTTAAAAAAAAACAAAAAAAAAACTTTATTGAAAATTTTTTGTCACAACAGCTCAAGAAACAGGAATATACTTATCAAAAATAACCAGAAGTTAAAAATCAAACATACGTACATCAGTTAAATAAAGGGAGAAAAAATACAATAATAGAATAACACTAGGTATGTACACTTCCACTTGTGGAAAGAGTTATTAATATGATATGACCTTTCCCATTGTCTCTATGGCCTGTGATCATCTAAACAGGACCAATTCTTCACCATGATTGAAGACGTACAATCCTTATGTCACCTTTAAATTTAGATTTAACAGGTTGAGCTTCAGCACTTGTAGAAGAGTGGATACCATGTTTTACAGAGTTTTATCTTCTTTCCAATATGGAGTCTGTTGTGAGTTCATCTGTCTAATACACGTATTATAACTCTCTAAACCAGTTTATCTTTTTTTTTTTATCATAAACAGTCCTCCTGAGACTCAATTTTAATCAAAAGGATTTTGATGTGTGTTGGCTTGTAAACCTGATTTCAACTCATTCATTGTGTCTTGTTCATTGTATCAGGTTTTAGAAATAGTTGCATCACAACCTGATGACATTTGTTGGGTTGTTTATTTTCATTTACAACACCCACACACTTTTTATAAAAAGGTATAAACTGAGTTTTTACATTTCTTTACTGAACTCGACAATAAATATGATGTTTTGATTTTAAAAACATTTAATCAAAACCATGTTTTTGGGCTTAAAACTCTGGTTTTGTTTACCTCGCGGTTGGTGCACTTCATTGTTAGAAGGCGGACTCGTTTGTGTGTTTACTTGCAATGTGATTTATTCACACCTCACACCAGATTACGACAGACTGCAACAACTTTTACAGAACATTTTTAGGTTTTTTTCCACATAATGTCAACATGCAAAATGTGCAGAAAATGGACGAGTGAGTGCACGTCTACTTTTCCTGAAGTTTCTACTTCTGCTTTCCTCCAAAATGCCTCGGTTTTTTTTTTCTGTCACATTTCCCCGTCTCTTCACCCTCCTGCTCCTTAACTCTCTCTCTCTCTCTCTCTCTCTCTCTCTCTCTCTCTGTCTCTCTCTCTTTCTCTGTCTCTCTCTCTCTCTCTTTCTCTCTCTCTCTCTCTTACTTTCTTCTTGTATTTTTTTGTCTCTCAGATCAACTCTGCTCTGCTGACAGTGCAGACATATCCCGATGATGTAAACTGGTGTAATCATTAGTGTGTCCATCAGGGACTTCCAATAAGAAGATCAAAACACACACACACACACACACACACACACACACACACACACACACACACTCACAGTCTCACTTATTCTAACTTGTATTTTTTGTCTGTGCAGATTCTGAGTAACAGGAAAGGCCTGCTACCAGAACCCAACCTAGCCCAGCTGCTGACCAGTATGACCAACCCCGCCGCCCTGCAGATCCTCATGAGACCGTACCACACTGGGAAAAGAGGAGGTATGACTGGGACCAGCATGCATCAGCTTCTCATCTGCTTTTAAGTCACAGAAATTATATCAAAATGTGTTATGACTTATTAGTGTAGATCAAGTGCAAACATGTTTTACTGGCAAAGTGTTTATTTCATAGCTTACCCTGTAAACTAAATAAAGTGTACAGGTTTAGTTAGGCCTTGTCGTCTGCTTCACTGAACTGCTGAAGTTTATCTCCAAACTCACATACAAAGTTACAATAAAACTATAGATTGCTCAAATTGCGATGCAATGTTTTCATCTGAATTAAGTCAATAAATAAATGTAAAGGGGCGTCGGAAAGCCTAGCAGTTATGTTGTGTGTCCCATATACGGAGACTGTGGTCCTCGTCGCAGTGGTGGTGGGTCTGAATCCGACCTCAGCCCTTTGCTGCATGTCATCCCCCCACTCCCTCCTCCCCACATGTCCTGTCTCTCTTCAGCCGTCATATCTAATAAAGGCAAAAAAGGCCCCAAAGAATAAATACATAAAAACACTTTTAAAAAATGTTTAAATTATGAAGATTTAGGAAAAATTAATTGGATGACTCAAAACAGATTTGAACATGACTTGGACATAACATCCACTGAGCGAGCTCATAAACTAAACTATTATTAAAGCATTTTGTTGGGCTGTAGAAAGGTTTCTTTCTTCATGATGTGTTCTCTCCTCACAGGAATATTTCCACATATTAAGACACACATACAGTATTACAATCATACAGATTTATGTAGTGAACATTTCTTTCCTTTTTTTGAAATAATATTCGTACCTGTCATTTTAGCATGTCATGACCAGGTCTACATCCTACACCATCAATGAGCCTGTTTCATCGCTGTAACAGAGAAGGAGCAGGGTGGTTGTTGAATTTTAGATCAAAACATGTTGCTGCTGAACTCAACCACACTTCACCCAGAATATAAAACAACTGATTTACACTTCAAGTTCTGTTTTTTTAATCATCACAATCTTCATCTTCATCTCTCTAATTGGATATGTTAGACTCAGATGTATCTAGAGAGTCAAACTTGACTTCTCTCACTCATGTTTTATGTAAGCAGGCTGAACTGTTGGTCTTTTTGTTAGTCACCAGATATTTTCTCGCTCTGTTTTCAATCTTTTATTTTTTAACAAGTTATTCGACCACATGCTGATTCAAGCTGTAGTACTGCCTCGGCCTTGGGTCGCTGAGATGTATACTGAAATAATGAACAACATTTAAATGTTCTCTAAATAAATCCTCTAACTCTGCATCAGTAATTCAACCTCAAACAAAGTGTCAGTGTGCAAAGAATCCAAAATATTCAGTTTTTTAAAAATGATGATATTTCCTAAAATCCATTTTGGTTATTGTTTGTACGTTTGGTTTGCAGCTAGTTCAATGCTCTCAGCAACATGAAGCTAAACAACGTTCAACTTGATACACGCACATGATTTTAAATTTGCATTTCCACTGACTGCACATTTAAATGAAATCTGAGCCCTGAACGTGTTCTTGTGACGAGCCTTTCCACTCCTGAGGGACGCAGATAATAATCAAAAACTCACTGTACGAGATCGTCCCCCTCCCATGTGCTGTAGTCATCACCCGGTCCACGGCTTCATTATTTGATGAATGGCTAATCAGGTATTAAAATGAAATCGTGTGTCATTAGCAGAACAAATGAGAACAGGAAGAAGGGAGGACGGATGGGAGGGGTGGGGGAGTTCTCTTAAAGAAGAGCACGCACAATTAAAGTCTAAAATTAGGACCTTGATTAAATGTTCAACTTTCTCCACCTATTCTGGTGAAAGCTA